ACCTGATTGGAGGCATGATTCATCTTTGACTATACATACATTTTCACAAATAAACTACCCAGACTTATTAATGTGACTGTTTTGGCATAATAATTATGATTATACGCGAGAGACTCCTGAGACAGGGATCAAATTTGCAATCCCACAACATATGGTCGCTGATAAACCGGTTTGGTCTAGCCTCTGACTCTATTGGAATCTTTTCAATTGATTTTCCGTTGCTTAACTGGGACACCATGCGCCATTTGTACTATTTTCCTCCACCGAGCATCCTGTTTCAGAAATTTCATAAACTAAAGTATCTATAGGGAATCACACGCAAAGAGAACTAGTTTGAATTCCTTTTTATGGGAGAGAAGATAGGGTGAAAACTAGGGCTGCAAATGAGCCGAGCTGCTCGCGATTCGCGAACGGCTCGGCGTTCGATTCGAGAAAAGTTTGTTCGTAACTCGATTCGTTAATAAACGAGTTGAATACGAGCTCGTCTTTGTTCAGCTCGTGAAGCTCGCGAGCTAGCTCGATTCGGTGGCTTGTTGAGCTAAACTCGTGAGATGGCTCGTTTAGAGCTCATGATATGTCTTGACATGTGGCTAGAGAGCCAACTCGATTACCAACTTATGGACGAATCAATCTATATCTTATGATTTTAATTCATATGGTTGTTAAATTATATATCTCACCATATATAAGTTTAACACGTTGAGTTTGTGAGCAAAAATATCTTATTTTCGACTTTAAAAAGAAATTATGCATCATAAATTGCTTCGATACTATGAAATAATATGATTTGGAGTAGTTAAAATTTATTAACTAAATGATATATGATATCAACAAAGTATAATATGAGATTAGCTAACAAAATAAATCATATGTATTATGATATACAAAATAAAGTATCAAATAAAAGTTAAGATTTTAATAAACAAGCTAGCTCGAGCTCGACTCGACTCGGCTCATTAATAAATGAGTTGAGCTCGAGCTTGACTCGTTTATTAACGAGTCGAGCTCAAGCTAGGGTAAAACTTGACTCGACTCGGTTCATTTGCAGCCCTAGTGACAACACTCTTTATGACGTTAGAGTAACAATATTAGGGTTCAACCAATAGGAAGGTAGAGTTGTAATTACTTTCTAATTAGATAGGTTGACTAAATTTAAATAGTGTAAAATTCATAGAATGGTATAATAGTCATTTTGAATATTATGTTTAAACTATCAATAATAATAATAAATTGAAAATAAATATTTTTAAAATTTTTACTTTCTGAATCATTTTTCTATCGCCGGAATTTGGTAACCAATTGTCAATATCCGGTCACCGGATGTCGCAATCCAATCACCCACCGCCGGAATCCAATCATTATGGTCTGAATATGCTCATAGTGGCTGGAATATGCTCAATGTTGTGAGAATCCCGTTATCATGGCCGAAATATGGTCACTCCCATAGGAATCAGGTCATCGTGGCTGGAATATGCTTACCATCATCAAAATCTGATCATCTATCGCCAGAATACGGTCTTCGCAGTTTAGTTAACGATCATTGGAGTCCTCTCTATAGTCCTCGAAGTTCAGTCAGCTGTCACTAATCATTGAGGGTTTAGTGATGTTGGGGCGCCCCTAATTTCCTTCTTGCAATGGGTTGCTCGACCCACAAGAAATATCTCCAAATTTGTGCATGTCTTGACTTGTATAGCTCCGGTTGGATCTCGGTTCAAAGTTGGGCTTGCTGCACTACCCGATTGCTTGTTTTGTTCATAAAGTGAGCATTCGATGTCCAAATCCATTTATGTTTGGGACCATGAGCTTGTATTCTCATCCTCCTTGTGATCCATTAGGTCCATTGGTGATCTATGATTGTCTTGAATGGTTTATAACCTTGAAAAGCACAAAATAACATCATAAATTCATCAAATAGTACAAAAACACACTTAAGGTCTTTCACTAGCTCATTATTCGAATAGTTATGAAATTAATATGAAATATCATCAAAACCACTAAAGATGGATTGATAAAAGAGGAAAATGTATCAAGAATGAGAGTGATAAATACTATAAATTGAGTGTCATCATAAATACCCCACACTTGAACTTTGTTTGTCCCCAAGCAAACACTACTCACAATCATACAACTAAATGAACACTAAAGAACCATCACTAATCTCGATTTTAGGTAGTGGATCATAAGTAAATTACAAGGTCAACAATAGCACGAGAGAATTGTAACCACATCAACGTGCAAGAACATCATGCAATCCATTCCAAGCATAAAACAACTAACCATACATTAGAGTCTCAAAACAAGAGGGTGTAACTTTTAAAAAAGTTTTTTTTTCTAACTTTGAATGTTTCTACCATAAACTTGACATACCCTTTAAGCACTTTTTGCCTTTACAAACACAAATTATTTTTATCTTTTCCAATTTTCTTCTCTTGCAAACAACTATTTTTCTTTTTCTAGACTTTTATGGAGTGGAGAGCTCTTTATAGCTTCACCCTTATTGATTGAGCAAGAGCTTGAAGCTCCTATACCTTAATTCATGCAGAGGTCAATGAAATTAAAGGGTGTTAGAAGCTTTATTGGTGCATCTTACGAACACATCCTCAAGTTTTCTATCAATTTAACGTGTGGAACTTTTACTTGTACTAGAGAGCACCTAGCATCACCTTGTAGGACTTCCCCACTAAAGGTCAACTAGTATCTCTTCCAAAACCCAATTTTTGTGCAATGAAAAGACGCCTCACACATTGAACTTACTTCACACTTTATTTCTCAACACTGCATGGAAAATTTTGAAAGATACCGACATGTCTTGATAGATAGATTTTACATTTTTCTAGAAGGTACAGTTCACCCTTTGAAAAAATTTCAAACAGGAGACTCCTTTGCATAATCAGAAATCCATGAATAGATCAAACAACATGTCATCCAAACATATCAAATGGTCATTATATCTCATTGATTATCGTATCCTTCACAGTCACTACACTATCCTCCCTAGACTGAATGACATTCCGCAGACTCGATGATTCAAAGTAAGATCAACAGTGAAAAGCTTGTAGGGAATGGCAAAACTAATTGGGTGGAAAACATCTTTTGGAATTTCGAATTTTTTTCAAATTGATCATAACACTAGTATATTTCGAAATTGAATGACTAAATATATGTCATGTATTGAGCATAATCAAGTAAGATGTAACACCCAATTCCATCCCACACTTCAAACTAGACATTGTTCGCAATGGACTAAAAGATAGTGAGCTATTGAAAAGTTTGAAACAGGATACCTAACTTGGCATTCAAATTTTGAAATAGAAGGCTTAGGCCTACTAGCACTCATTATATTTAGGAAGATTATAAATAAAAAATCAAATAAAAAAAAAACAAAGGAGAGAGCAAATGCTTCAAACTCCTAATCAAAGCAAAACAAAGAGATAGATGTTACTCTCCATTGAAGAACATGACCTCGTCGGTTGGCCAATCGAGCTCTAACGTCCCTTCATCATTCCTTCCAGTTGCATGCATCATGGGTGGCTCTATGGGATGTGGATTAAATCCACTTCGGCATATGAACTCTTGAGAGTCCTCTGATGCTCAATACTCCAGCTCATTGATCTTCTCTAGCAACATCTTTGATCTTGTACATGCTATCTTGAGTGCCTTTGTGCTAGCTTCAAATCCGGATTTGGTGGAGCTTATTTTAAGATGTCTCCCGGTTCTAGATCTTTATCGTAATGATGATATATCATACGATGTTTAAAGGGAAAAGATAAAAGGCTTTCTATTAGAGAGGGATGATCATATCATACTGATGTGTATCGGTTACTTATGGTTATTCACCATAAGGTTGCTGAACTGATCCGCTCTCTCACTTTCTATCGAGGACGGATACCTTCGCTACGTTACAGACAGGTTGGCAACGGATATATATATATACATATAGATATAGGAATTACTACCTGACACATGAGTTTGTCGTATTCCATTTAATTTGGTGATCATCGTTCAATCCATTACCTGGCCTTAATTATATATTTGCCACTTCTATCAAAGTAACCAACTTCGTAGCAAATTATGCACACTGACTTCGACATTGCCGATATGCTGCTATATATCAAAACGCATAAACAAATCAAAAAGACAAAATCGGTGGTTTGACAGATCCGCTACTCGACCAGAAGAATCCAAACCAATCTTCATTCACTAATTCATACACTCTAATTGCCTGCCGGTTGGCCAAAAGACAAGTCCAACTGAAAGTTCAAAACAAGACTTCCCAAACAAATTTCCAATATGGTCTCTGCACCATTGGTTACACCAAACCATAAGTAAAAAACACCACGGTACTACTACTAAAAAAAATACACCATGGTACTTGCAAATTATAGCATATACGTACGAGAGTTATAGGTGAACAGAGTTAATTTGAGTGCAAAAGTTTCAATATCAGTCAAAAAGTTTACTGATATTGTCAAAAAGTTTAAGTATTTTGTCAAAATTGGATAGGTCAATTAGTAAGAAATTGTTCGTTTTGGGACAAGTCCATATGGATTTACCTTTCAATATTCTCCCTAAAAAGATCTCGTACTAATGAGTTTGGTGGACACTGAAAGATAAACCAAGTTCACTTAATCTGTCAAACAAACGCATATATCCTTTGCGGTCCTTCAAACAAACACAGATCACCCCTTTGTGCATCAAACATATGCATATCTCAAATTTCGAGATCACCGAATGAGGGTCCATGGAACTGACGTCCACCTCACTGGATCCAAACCAGACTCCAGTACAACTTATCACAATCAGATAGCTCAATTAATAAGATACTATCCGCTTTGGATCAAATCCGCACTTAGTTTGGTTATCCTTCCTAAAAATACTAGTGGGTTCGATGGGCATTAATATACTAAGAAATCTTTTCCTATTTCATATACGTAAAATAACGAGTAAACATGATGCGAAGCCTCCCCGATGTTGGTAGCAGAAAGCCCCGGTTAGTATCCAGGTACCCCAGTAGTTTAGTAGGCCTCGCTGTCGCTCAAGTGGCACGTGGGGCTGAGGTTCGTTGAGTTATCAAATAAAAAAATGAAACTATTCAAAAAAAACACAAGATCGTCGGAAAAATAAGTTCCAGAAACAAATGCAGAAATTAACTCGAGTAGTGGTCTGATTTTTTATATATAAAAGATAGAATTCTATACATATGATAGGCCAAGTTTTCTGCCAAAAAAAAAAAAGGAAACAATACTCCAAAAGTGGTGATCAACAAATCGAGCGACGACGACGGCCGGCCGGCTCCTCGACGATGGTATCGAGCAACGGTTTCCTCGACCTCGACATAGACATCCTGTGCACGGCCAAGAAATGGGCCGCGTCCGACGACGCCGTTTCGTCGTTCAGCCCTTCCAACAGCCTCGGATACGACGCCGTCTCTTCGGCCTCCTGACCCTGATCAGTTTCGGCCGACGGGAGATCGCGGACTTTCCCGAGTCCGTGGCGTCTGAGGACCACGAGGGAATCCGCCGCCGCGAGGAAGAGCGACGCGAGATCGGCGGCGGTGACGGGGGAGTGCTTGCGGTGGAACGGGAGCATGACGTAAAGGTTGGCGATCTCGAGGCTGTGGTCGGCTGCCAGAGGGGACAGCCTGGCCCCGACCTTGAGATTGTCGGCGTTGACCACCATGAAGTTCGGAGCCTCCATCATCAGTTCCGCCGCTTTGGTCGGCTCCTCGATGGCCCGCACTTCTCCGGTCGGGAAGATCACTCTCGCTGCCGCGATTTTTCCGGAGTAGTACTTTTTGATCATGATGTGGCCGCCGCCGGCGGTGGTCGTCTTGCAGGACAGCAAGTTCCCCATTTTGGAGAGAGAGAGAGAGAGAGAGAGAAATTTGGAAGGTTTGGTGTTGAGAGAATTCTTTGTTGGTTTGTTTGTTTGTTAACACTGATGGAAGGGGAGAGGAGAAGAGTAGGGAGCTGAAATATATATACATGGAAATGTATATATATGTATATATTTTTCCATTTTAATTAAAAAAAATGGTAGAGTAATCAGAAGTAATATTCCTTTTCCGGGGTGATTCAATTATGCAAAGTAGTGCCTGCCGAGCTACGGTTTCCCTTTGGCTAAAATCTTCCCTTTCTTCTCTCTCTGTTGTTGCTATCAGTAACCTTTCCATTTCAGATAGATAGATATATATATTATTTGATGTATTTCTTTGAACAGAAAATGAAACTGGTTATATTGGAACAGAATGATATATACATGCATGCATCATCTATTCTAATTTCCAATTGTCACGACAATTATCCATGATAAATATAAAGAAAAAAAACAAAGAGTTGTGGTAGGAAGGAATTCAAATGATATGTACGTTCTAAATAGAACAATTGTTAAGAGTTTGGAGTAACTCTACAAGGGATTGGACTCTATTATGGTATTCTTCTGGACAATTTTTAGTTTTTCAAAGCTATCGAAGGGAAAAGGGAAATTCCATCCTGCTAATCAACTCTTTGAGACTTCTAAATTGAAATCAACCTTTAGATTAAATCCTTATTCTTTTTTTTTAATAAAAAATAATCATATTGATTGATAAAAAATAATGGATTACACTCTGGACCAAACCTAAACACAAAAATCATACAATCGACACGAAGTCGGAGATAAAAAAAGGACCTTCCTAGCCAGTGCTAGCCTATTGCTAATCCCATCCACGAAAACCACTATTCAGAGCCATCAGACGCAGAATCTCTTGGATAATAGCCCCAACACGGCTGTCTTGCGCATCCTTGATATTAATCTTATCAATGAGCACCTTCCCATCACCTTCAAACCGTACTTGAGGAATGCCAAGATTCTGACACCACATAATAGCTTCACGGAGGACAATAGTCTCCATCACAAGAGGGTCAACAATGTTTTCAAGAGCCATTCCTCTTGCTAAGAGCACATACCCTCCTCCATCCTTTAAGATCAACCCTCCCGCTGAATGTGAGTCAACACGTACCGCACTATCTCACATACAGACAACAGAGGGAAAATCTACCACCTCCAGATTCCGCTGCAAAGGAAACCAATCCCGGACCAACCTATCCTCTGGTAAGGACACCCATTCATGGAGTTTCTGATAGTATTGGCGCATCAGTTGAGGAATCAAGAACTGCTTGCCTTCAAAGGCAACCCGGTTTCTAGATTTCTATATACGCCACAGGAGCGCCACCAGAGCCATAATATGAGCCGACAAGGTCATCCGAAGCAAGTACTTTTTAAGTAAAGAATGAAATGTCTGTCGTGGAAAACCGTGCCCCAGATGCTCTAATCCTGAATGAGTCCAAAGATCTGTATCGATTTGACACTCCCAAAAGAGGTGCTTCATCGTTTCAGATTTTGCCCATCACATCGGGCATCAAGGCAAACCCTTTTCTCAACCAAAGATTTAGTAGTAGGCAGGATACAGTTGAAAATTTGCAACAAGAACAGTTTTTACTTAGGCGGGATCTTGAGTTCCCACATTCTCATCCAACTCTCCCTATCCATCCAACTCACCATGGGGCACCACACCCCAACCTTTCTATCCAGCAAAACCGCCAAGTGGTAAGCAGACTTGAAAGTGAACACTACTCCATCACACATATCATGCCATACCAATCTATCCTCTATACCCATACGGGGTAGGGGAAACGCCATGATGGCACATGCTACATCTAGTGAAACATCCGCTGAAGAGATTGTCGACACCATCCTCCCTCCAGGAACTATAAGCTCGGTCACCTTCGGGTCATTGCCCTCGGAAATGACATGAGGATTGCACAGAGGAGGATGATGATGAGTATACATGACCTACCTAGAATATTGGATAGAGGACTGCAACCCATTCCCAATCTGCCACCGGAGTCCTTGTTGGAGGAGGAGGCGACCATGGACAATACTTTGTCACCCCCACAATGGGCTAGACCATGCAGTCGCTATTAGGAATGTACCATTCGAAAAGTACTTGCCTTTATATATCTGGCCCAAGAGAGAATCAGGTTCGTTGAGAATCCAACATCCAATCTTAGCCATGAGGGCTTGATTAAAATGCTAGAACCGCCGAAATCTCATCCCCCCATCATGTTTACTCGTGCACAAATTCCGACAGGAGTTCCACCTAATCCGAGGGCGACCCCCTTTCACTTCCCACCAAAATCTAGTCACATGTTTATCTAGAGCGCGGCAGAGAGAGGGAGTTTAAAGCAGGACATAACATGGAGCGACAAAGAGAACACAATTGATTTTATTTTACTTTAAATCCTTATCAAGAAACAAATGAGTGTAAACTATTTTTAAAGACAAAATGCCCATAAAAATATTAGCAAATTGTAAGAGAACTTCGGGAAAATTTAAGTTGAATAACACAACCTAAATAACTTGGTGTATAACCACTTCTCATTATTTTTCATGAATCATCTCATTTAATTTGAAAAATGGAATTCATTTTGCTTCACAAGATTACGTCAATTTTTATATATTTAAGAATAAAAAATTACTCTCGAGTGCCCGTTTATGTTTTTTTCAATAGAAAACTCGTGTTACCGAGAAATAGGGATACAAAGGTTTAAAACTCAAAATGACCGAAGCCACGCAACAAAATCTAAACCCATCAACAATGGTGAACTTAATAAAAGGGTTTTTCGTGCCACAAGATGAATGTCCCTGTTCCTAACTCGACCCACAATGACACAATGAAACTAGGGAAACAAGGACACAAGCCACTAATCTCCCGCAAAATTGCACCCCTCACTATCCTCCGCCATATTACAAACAACCTTATCAAAGACGAGCTGAACATCTCCAAGAAAGCTTACAGAAGTCCAACCTCTATCCACACACAACTGAATAGCATCACGCAACGCAAAATTTCAACAAGGAAGGGATCATCCACACCTTGATATTATCTCGCTGCACAGGCTAGAAGCGACCCTGCTGCATCCTGAAGTACTCACCCACCTGCTCTATACGAGCCTTGCTTCACTGCACCATCAACAAAATAAGGCCAAACCACGAAGTTAAGTCGAAACCGAACACGGGGTATTCTGCTGAAGGAAATCAATCCATTCACCAACTTGCAAGGAGAAATGGAAAGTAAGTACAACCGATTGAAATTGCGTCACTGAGCTCTTCTCTCTTCTCCTTTGGTGCTGCAAAAACTTGCTCCTAGATGAAATCTCGCCCCTTGGAAGGCATATGAACCCATTAGTGCAGTGCCGATCTGAACATCGGGCCGGGTTGGGTAATTTCGGGTTTTGGGTCGGGTCATGTTGGATTGGCTTATTTCGGGCAAATATTGACCCAACCCATTGGGTTTTGGATCAGGTTACAGGTCATTTCGGGTTATGAGCGCTCTTAGAAACAATATCAAACATGCTTCATATTTTTGTAAAGAACACAAATCTTCACATGTGCATGACAATAATTTACCTAACACATGTCAATTAAAATATTATCAAATCCTCCCATGCTAATGAAATGAAATACAAAAATGGGTCAACCCGCTAAACCACCCAACCCGATCCAGGGTTAATCGGGTTCTGATCATTAGGGTTCTGGGTTCTAAAAATTTCTATTTTTCGGGCAGTTTCTGGTTGGATCAACGAGTCGGGTTGTAATTTGCTAGGTCTACATTAGTGAAAGGTGAAGGTGAAGAGAATGAAAAAGAGGGAAACTAGTTAACCCCTACCAACTTATCAAAATGGAACTTAATGGATCAAGAATCATGATGGGTTACAAGGAAGGACCCTGATGGTTGGCCCAGCGCCCCAGCCCAGACCGCTTATGAGTAAGTCCAGCAGATAAAAAAAAAATAATAATAATCGACGCTTCTTATTGCAAAACCCAGAAGAAAATAATAAGAACGAATCGTGGATTGTTCCCCACAAATACTCTCTTCTTCTTCTTCACCCACTCTGCCGCGAAAGCTACCAACAAAATCCCCTTGTCGATTTCAAAAATCTTCCCCAGTATTAGAGTTTGCGTATGGCCGGAATGCGTATGCTGCCGGAAGAATCCGACATCTCTCAGCAGCAAATCCGAGCTGCATCGGCCGTTGCCAGTGATCTGGTCTCCGACGACGACAGGTCCGTTGCCGCCGATTCTTGGTCCATTAAGAGCGACTATGGAAGCACCCTCGATGACGAGCAGCGGCATGCTGATGCAACCGATGCACTCTGCGCTGCCAACTTCCGTGCTGCCTCAGATTACAGGTATCCCTCGCTCTGGATTTATTTTCGTTTTTGCTCTTCACGGCTGTGATTATATATCCAGTCTGTCCTATGCTTACTGTTGATCTCCTTTGATATGTGATCGTACTATAGATGATTCTGCATTGTGATTTTGCGTCACTGTGTTGCCTTGCAATTCTTCAGCGTTTCGAACGAGACCTAGAACTTTGTCTGTAATTCTTCAATGTGGAAGTATATATTGCATAAAAGAACCGAAACTGAAAATGTGTGAACTTTGCTGTATTAGCGGAATTAGTTTCATGGAGATTCCATCATCACTACTGGGGCAACTATCTTCAAAAATCGAGAGGCTTCAAAAACACGCTTAGATGAAATGAGATTAGGGCTTAACCTTGTATTTGTCCCACTTGTGCTTTCACCTTTTAATATCTTATTCTTGGGGATGATCTCAGAGCTTCGACCTCCACCAATTGAAACTTTTGGCCTTCTTATTGTGTGCAGTTCTGACAAGGAAGAGCCAGATGCTGAAGTAGTGACATCAATGCTTGGTCTTCAGAGTTACTGGGATTCTGCATATGCAGATGAGTTATCAAATTTCCGCGAACATGGCCATGCTGGTGAAGTTTGGTAAGTACTTATCTGTGCATTTAGACATTTAATAAGGCTAGCCTTTGATTGTCAGCTTGGTCGGAAACTGAGATGATATCTATTATTCAATTTTAAAAACATAACTTGACCATAA